TACTATGTAAAAAAAGCTTGATTCTCCGCCCCTTCCTTATCAAGGAAGTGTCAGTCATCCCAAATACTACTGAAAGTTCGATACCCCCCCCTGTTTGGTTTCGGCAGCAGACTCGACTGCATTCAGTCATCTCCTGTCAGCGTGCGAGAGTATCTGTCAAATTTCGTTCAATTTCTGTTTGAGAGGTTAAGGGAAACTCGAGGACTTTGCCTATCTGATGAGCTCCAAGAAGTGTAAAACCGGTCGGAAAATGTCGAAGTAGATTTAAAAGGCGATTGTGAAGACACTGGTATGGTGTCACCATAGTGCAATATTCAGCACTGAAAATGGACAGCGGTCATTTCACTGCCCAAATAAAAAAACTTGTGTGAGGCGGTGGATGCATTCCACATCTGTTGCGAAATGATTTAGCAACCCTGTAACAGATTTAAAATCTAAAAAGATGGCATGATGAGTTTGTCACGTTAGACTCCAAAGTTCCAGTAAAATGCGGTTAAGCACCACTTCATTGATAAAGTTAGTTGGTCAGCCCTATAATCGGTCGCTCTCGGATAATTTTTGGTCCAATAATTCACGACAAAGTGTCTGGAAGCATCCATGGAACCCTTCGCTTCATGGAGTAGTACCAGCTAAGTTATTCGAATGTGCGAGCCGTCATCCAGGTGAACATCAAGCACGATTACTGGCACATAGCCTCTTCCAGGCACCTTCCGCTCCGTGACGGTTCTTAGTGCGGAATGGCTTTTGAACGCACGTTTCGTCCAGGTAACTGACCTTTCTTTTGACCTACTTCAACTGCGCCTTTATCTTCGTCTAGATTTCCTTATGATAGCACTTTTCATTCGTCTTTCGGAGTTGGTTCGGATGCCCTCATATAAGGCATCACCAAAGAAAAAAATTCAGAAGGAAAATTGTAATAACAGTATATTAAGGCACTGTGATTACTACAGCTGTAAAGATCGATAAAATGGAAACATCTCGCAGTTAGCTGCTTGGAAGTTGTGTCGAGTTATTACGTATACAACTTTATGAAATAACTGTTTTTTTCTGAATACACCCCTAGATGAGGTGATCAGATGGGCCAAGGGAGCGTGCTTGCTTGTGATAAGATTGTTTGACTCTTGACAGGCGTAATCAAGCAGAGAATCAAGTCCTTGCGGGAATTGTACGACAGTGGAGAACCAAGGGTCTTAGAAACAACCAAACCTATTAGAGCCACTGGAAGATTCACAGTGTGATGGGTTCAAGTGAGGAGCCGGTGTTGTGAAGAGAGAAGCAAAGCATGATAAACCAGATGCTATTATGGGATAAATGAACACGTTCGCAAGGAACAAGCGACAACTTCAAAAGACATGAGGTTTACACCCAGAAACTAGACGAGTCACTTTTTTTAAAGAACTACACAGAAAATGCACGGGATCACGCTACTGTGTCATCATGAAGCTACCATCCCCATCAAGACAGCACTAAAGACAGCCGGGCAAAAAGAGGTTCAAGCCATTAAGCCTAATGACCTTGTCGATATCAACAGGCTATCCGACTTCTCGCGACATCATATTATGGGTTATTAGAGAAATAGGACATCAAAAGAACTTCGCTTAACGCACACAGGTCTTCATACGAATTTGTTCTCGATCAACCGATCTAGGTCAATGTATTTTGTTTATATCCTATCGATCACATCCATAGCAGGAGATGGCAGGTGCTTACAAGTTATCTTTGATTCGTTTATTCCGATGATTCATACGGATTCACACCGGTGTTGGGAGTGCATGCAATGATCGATCTAGAAATCTCCAAATGCGGAGTTGGTTACACTACTGACTAGACTAGCAGTAGGCAAACAAAAAAAGAAAGTCAAGGGAGCCAGCCCACCCATTTGACTGACTCAATTAGAACGGCAGGGCAGATAGACTGAATGACCGGTTGAATTAGACTAGGTGCCCATTCTCGATCCGTCGAACAGATATTTACTGATAACCCGTTGCTGAGTAGTATTCCGTATGGCTTTCAGCAACAAGACTCAGAAGACGTGTCAGATAATCCTCAAATGACGTTCTTAATAAGTTTTTTCAAGAGTAAGGTATAGAAACTGATGAACAGCCTGCAAAAACAGTGTCCGTCGAGTTTTATCCCACATGGATGTAGGACCCAATCCGACCGATGGTGAAGTTACCCTACAATGGTCGAAAGAAAGAGCGGAAGCTATCCGAAGCGGATGTAATCGTCTACCTATTCTGGGTGTCCACCAGAAGGCCGATAAATATACATCGATTCTCAGATGGATTCACTCCGCAAAGGAAGTAGGTACATCGCTTAGAATAAAGCTTTTGAAGTTTTCATTGTTTTCCCTTTGCCTACAACGCAATCCGGGTACTGGGTGTGGTGATAAACAAGAAGTATGCACACCAGAAAGTCGAGTGCCTTTTACCCTCTTTCGACTGTAATCGTCCGGGACAATCTTTAATCTTGAATATCTTGCCCAGTCATCGCACCAGGTCATTTGTACACAGACGTGCCTTTTGGAGAGCCAATTACTGGACAGTTTAGTTGTAACTGCATTACAGGACTGAGCTAGGTATCAGTGGTGATCTGTAGAGCCTGGAGCGATATTCATCTTGAAAACAAGTACATTGTGAGCATTGGGCACTTGTCTGTCACGAACGGAAACTCCTTAATAGGTTATCCTAATCCGACAAACACAACACCCAGACAGCAGCTGGATCTCAGTGGTTATTAAGAGAAGAATAACTACGCCGACCAAAGAAACATCCGTAATTCCACATCCCCCATAGTCTTGTGTGACCAACATGGATTTTTATTCAAATGTTGGTCTTAAAGCGCCATATATACCTTGGATGGTTCGCTCTAAAAGATCTTTCAGATGTAACACCCTTCCGATACGTATCTACCATTCCACCCGAAGGAAGCACCGGAGCTGGGATAATGCCAGGTAGCCCAAGCCTAGACAGGGGAAGTCGAAAGGCAGAGGTCGGGTTCGAACCACAGACGTTCTGGTCAGTAAATTCGCTCTCTAACAACTTGAGCTATCTCGCCGCAAATGGTTTGTTATGAGCTACAAATTCTACGGATAGCAATCAATAAAGGGCAGATGTTTGCTATTTCAGCAGAAACTGTCATTTTTACAGCTCCCCTGTTCAAAATTGTTCCCATGGTTTTCTCAAGGTCAGAACGCAGGAAGTATACCCGGCAACGCAATGTGACATCCAGAACATTCTATTGTGATCCTGGTGCGACTGTAGCTTAATCTTATGAGCTCGAGGCACTACCACCCACTTGAGAACCTTTCGAACCCTTGCAGACGGGCTAGTATAGTAAAGCACTAGGGTCTCTTAGAACACACATTTCCGGATGTTTGACTTGAGCACCCCTCACCTGAGTCGAAAGAGTTACATGTCGAGAGTCCTTCTCCTTGGATCACAGTTTCGTTTCTGATCGGTCATCCCAGACAGCGCTTTTTGGTTTAGATTAGAGTGAAAAATCGGAGAATGATTAGATAAAACATGGCTTTTTGCGCTGTATGGGTTATTCCCGCAGCCTTCGAATCATTTCCTGCCAACCTTAAAATCGTTTATGTAACCCACCGACCGAATTTTTCACTGTCCGTCATATCCCATGAATGGAGACCGCTGCTTGGTTTGGCCCAGGGAACAAGTTCGCCCAGAAAGTCGACTAGTGAGGAACATCCAATAGATTATTCTCGACTTTTAAGTGATGAGCCTGAGGTTTTTTAAACATAGACGTCAGTGTTCTTGAGAACGCAACCAATAGGTATTCCGTCCAGAGTTCGGCTTACCAAATTAACAAGCCTATATGATCGTGTGGTGGTTTGATTTCTTCCAAAGGCTCGGTGCTTACTGGATCGGCCATCAGGAATATCGAAACATTCGCAGTAAACATAATACGAAATTCAACTCGAGATCCGCTTATGTGTCGCTCTCAAACGAAATTTTCAAGTACCATGCTATTTGCCTTGCTTGATACGAAGTCATTTTACTATCCGCTTGTTTAAACTTCATCTGGTCAGCGAAATCGAGGGTCGAGTTGGTGCTATGCTCCTAACGGTCATCGACTGAAAAATCGCGTTGCCCTGCACAGTTGGTCAAAATACTACCGCGGCGATTTATAACTTCCTAAAAATGGGTGCTTTAATCTTTTAATTAGAAACAATGTTCTCGTCGCCGAGCCAGATTTAAGGTTACATTGTAAAATATTCGAAACAATCGACTTTCAACCAAAACTTAACCCGTTAAAGCGCGTTGCCACTGTTCCGCAGTCGCTTTCGAACCATGACCTAGTAAGTAGATGCAAAAAATTAGCAAACGATCGCTGATGCTATAAACAAATCGCACTCGAAAAAAAATACAAATCACTTGTCTATGATATTTTTTCGGTGCATTGCTACTGTTCAGTTTCTCCACATCCGACCAGCAGAGTTACTGGGTGAGCACGGATTGCTCAGTGGGTCAGATTATGCTGTTTCACTCACAGTCGTGTTTCGAGTAAGCCAACATTTTGTCTTTGGTCTGGGGGGGGGGCAAAACAAGACTGTCACATTAGGCCTTTTTGACAAAGTATGCACAGACAAAAGTGATACTGTCAAGGGAATAACGCTTCGTTTGCTGATAACGGACTTATTTACGGCTATGTTAGAACACAACCGACTGCATTAGTAAATCGGCAACCCGGAGGAGCGATAACTCTGCAGTGTTCTCGTCAATCTTTGTGCAAATCCCACAGTGGAAAAAAGAATTGCGCCTTCGTTTAGCGTTCGAAGGAGTTTTATAGACATGGTTTTTGGTTCGACGACTTAACAACGCCAACAGGAACACTTCCGAACGCTCGAGTGGTGTCATTTTAAGAGACGGCCAGTGATAATCGTAAACGATGAGGAAAACTGTTGTTGCTAACTTCCCGCAGGGGCGTTTAGGATGCATCCTACACCGATTCAGAACATAATACCTTGTCACCCACATTAGGGAGCACCCATCGATGAACCCGCAAGCATGGTATCTGCGAGTTGTCATTGCTGGACGCATCGTGGACACTCGTTGCAAGTTGAATACAAACAGACAGATGCAAATAAATACAGGTAAGGTCCCCAGTGTTGACATCATACCCAATCCGTCCAATGTCGTAGCCTGGAGATGACCGACGTTATCTGCATTGGGTTAAAGACGCCTACGTGGTGTGACCAGGTCATACTAGAAAAGTACTCCAGATAAAGTGGACTTCAGATCCCTAAAAGAGGGATATCTAGTCGGGTCGTAATGCAGCCGACTTGAAAATAACAGAAAAATTTTTCTCGTACATAAGCAGTCTATGGAGACCATGGTTGTGATCATTTCCTGGTTTGACTCTCTTGGCCTTTTTGAACGCATGCAGGGAGCCTGTTGGCGAGCGATAATAAACAATTGTCAGTCCGCTGATCGTTGCTCTGAATTTTATAGAGCAGCGGTCGAGTCAATAGCCTGATCACAGCCGCCGGGGGAGAGACTCAAACCAGGCGAATTTTGGTTACCAAAACAGCGTTTTGCCGTTGGGCTACAGCGGGCACATGTGCATTTGGACTTGACATCCCAAGCTTCCCAAGGAACTGCACAACGGGTCAAATTTCGATTCACCAAAAACTGCCCAAAACGAATTAGTTTGTACCATTCCTACATCAACTGGGGTTGCTTTAGTGTGTTGCGCACTACCCAGCAGTTTCGTCAAAAATACAAAGTGAAAATGATGATCGCTGGAATTCCAAACGGCGCTAGCGAATTTCGGGAAGGCCGCCATGAATGCACAAAAGATGAGTGTATAAAAATTGATTCCTATTTGAAAAAAAAACTGATGGAAGAATCAACATCCCCGTAAGATGGATAATTCAGTTCGGAGTGTATAAAAATGATTCCTATTTGAAAAAAAACTGATGGAAGAATCAACATCCCCGTAAGATGGATAATTCAGTTCGGAGAGGCAGGTGGAATGCACAAAGTGACCGACCAAGAATGACAACAGAGTGAGCGGCACCTTTCAAGCATCACCCGTCTATCCGAATAGTAAACTGTGGCGAAGACAAGGGCCATGATGGAGGAGTTCAGGGTCGATCGTCGCGAAACTGATGGTAATTGCGCTCCATGTTTCGACGGTCATCCTGTAAGAATAGTTGAGAACCAAAGCGTATACTAACATACATAGGCAGACCGAAAAGATCGTTGACGAGATCTCTCTCCATGACGAGATGGGGAGTTGTCCCGAGCTTTCCAATGAGGAATGACTGGTGGGGGAGGAATGGGTTGCGCGCAGTGTTCTTTGTACCCAGAATCTGTGGTCGAATAACGATTGGAAAACATGGCCTCCAGAACCTCCAAGGTGTAGTCTTTCGGGTCCGGCATATTGACGATCTAGAAAAACGGTTTTTTCATTAAACAGTCTACTCATCGCATTGTGAAAAGTGCTATAAATAGAGTTCAAAATGAGTAAAAAAATAAATGAATCGCTCAGCTGTAGCACCCTTCAGGTGCCTAGCTGCCATGCTACCCGAAGGAATCAAGAGGACTGGGATACTGCCAGGTCGCCCAAGCCTGAACAGGGGAAGTCGAGAGGCAGAGGTCGGGTTCGAACCACGGACCTTCCGGTTAGGAAATTCGCGCTCTAACCACTTGAGCCATCAAGATGAGTAGAAATATGTGGAGCGTGTCCACAACCCTGCAAAAGTGAATATATGGTTCGAATGTCCACGGGATGATGGGTTGGCTGGAAGGGATGAACACCTTGGATGTAAGAAGATACTTGAAGAAATTTCTTACGGAACCTGAATATTCCTAACCAGGATGAAACGGCTGCGCTGTACTTATGAGCTTTTCAGCATAGATTGGCTGCATTCGCGGGATGGGATATCACCTGAAACATCAAAATACACTCGCTACTTAGTACTTCGCTAAGAAAAGGAAGAAAATCTTCCAAGTGAGATGAACCTCCATCCGTAAATCAAGGAGCCAGACTATACCGAAGTATTCATCCTGAGCCGTGTGACTGAAACATGGCTGTCCTACACTATGTTTACGTCCGAGCTGCTCGCACTGCTAATCAGTCACCCGCCACCGGGTGGCACGGCGCCCAGCTACTAACGGAAGGCCGCAAATTCAAATGGTTGTGGTACGCATACTGGCGGTTCTCTCAAAAGGGCGAGACTGTCATACGGGACTTTCCAGCTTTTGAGCACACACTGACTTCACCTGCTCCTAAAAACGAACCCCCTATTAGGTTATTGTTCGATGCATGGGGCGAGATGGCCCAAGTGGGTAGAGAGCGAATTTACTGACCGGAAGGTCCGTGGTTCGAACCAGATCTCAGCCTCTCGAGTTCCCCTGTCTAAGCTTGAGCAATATGTCAGTATCCCAACCCTCGTGCAACCTTCCGGTGGCACGGCAGCTAGGCATTGGAAGGGCGTTACAGCTGAACAGCTATTATTTATTATTGTTACGATGCATTTTCTGAGCCTGCGATCCCCTCTGTATCGTAAACTGTTCCTGCCACAAGCTGATGTTACCTGAACAGGTTAAGGGTGTTCATACTTGGCATCGTGTATTTCAATAAAATACCATCCAGCCGTAGCACCCCTTCGGTGCCTAACTGCCAAGCCACCAGAATGAAGCACGAGGGCTGGGATACTCCCATAGGACCACTCCCTTCGGTAAACAGTTTAACTGCATAATAAATGATAAAGCTATGTGGTGCATAGTTGGTGTTTTCCATCCGACGAAAAAAGTGCAGCCTTGAAGTAATGGATGGGATTGAATGCTGCAGTGATCCCATGGAATACAGTGGTTCGAACTTCGTTCAACACACTGCAATAACGCTAGGAGCCATCAGGCTACGAGTAGCAATACCCGTTCTACGGGCAACTGTATTACGAGTTGATCTTGGAGGAAAATCGTACTGTCCTCTGTGACAGGTATGAAGGCAATGAGGTGTTTCCTTCAGATGACCAGCATATCCGTATTTACGGAAGCAGTGGTGCTGCTTTACCACAGGAAGGACGGGTTAGAAAATATCGACCTCAATACCCATTAACCCCAATTAACCGTCGGTTGACCATCACTGTCAGCTAGTTATCACTGTGGTCGAACTACAGCTGAAATTCCACAAGAGCCTGATGCCGCACCACACATTTGCACTGGCAGTGGGGGTGAGACATGTAACCCTTATTGAGTACTGAACCGACTGGCACGCGGTTTGAATGTGGACCAGGGATTGGTGGTCAAGATCAGAATCTCAACCCAAATAAAAGAGCTCACTGCAATGTAGACAACGAGCTAAAGGAGTATTCATCCACATTGACAGATTAGTGTTATTAATGCGATGAAGGCTGATGGTAAGACATAAACTATGCTCCTTTGGCATACTGTTGGCTCTGGTGATAAACCCAGTGTATCCATTTGTCTTCGTTGGTCTTCCTTTGATCTTTTTGTATCGCGGGTGGCCGCTTAATGGCTCCTCCTGAACTGAGCCTTCCAGACTACGCGGTAAGAAAACAACATAAAACAGCCCACAAGAGAAACATACAGATCTTCCGCATAAATATATAGGATGGCTGAATGGCCAGATGGGGTTATTCGCTTGTTCGTTCTGCTCAGCCAATGGTAATGTTCTTGCCGTGGACATTTTCACGTGCAGTTCGCTGATCGCATACTGCTATGACTTGTTTGTTAAGCTCTACGCACGCATTTGCCGTCCGGAAGGTTTGGTGCCGAAGGCGACCTTAGGGACACGATGTGTTCTGCACAAGTACTTTTCATGTGTGGACGCCTCCAGATAGATCTAGTGTCTAATGGCTGTGCCTCTCAATTATTATTTGTTATGTCCCGATCTCTCACCGGAAAGCGCGTAAGGCTCATCCATGTAGCGATTCATCCTATGGATCCGATGTCATCGAGTATGACGTTTGCAGTTTGCTACCATAACGAGCAACCTATCCTTGTGGCTTATGCAATACATATTCATTCGCTGAATCTTATTGTTGTGGTCCGGTTATTCCTGTAATGCGGGAGACTGAAAGGTTGCCATACATATTTCAAACGATCTGGGACATGTTCCTATCCAAACTGAATGAAGTCTTAGCCTGAGTGAATACACTGTAGCCCTTAGAAGGTTAAGGACACACATAAGTCGAATCTGACACTTGAAAATCCCAAGACAGGGGTGAAAGCTCACAATGGAAATAGCAGAAGCATGAAACGAAAAGGTTCGCAGTAAGGATGCGGGTGAATGAAGGAATTCTGAGTGTGTGAGTTCACTGAGAGAAAACGAAGCTCTTTACAAGCATATTCCCGTCCTCAAAGGATTAAGTGAAACACTACATAATTGAAGGAAAACCCAAGTGCTTGGGTGTTTCCGTATTATCTCCCAATATGGAACCAGGGAACCGGATGTGGTTTCCTGCTGATAGAAACACCACCTCTGATGTTGCACTTGCCACATTCTGAGAACTGCTGGGGTCGCAACTGANTCTGATGTTGACTTGCCACATTCTGAGAACTGCTGGGGTCGCAACTGAGTCGGTGAAATATCACTAAACTGGCAAGACCGAATCCGGCGCCGGTGACTTTGGATTTAATATACCGAAATCGGTCCGCATACATAAATGGGATTTGGAGGTCCTTTAAACGGAGGCCGAACAAATGGACTGAGGTGGATGCAGCAACTTCGATTTGGAAAGTCGAAGGCATTTCATATATACCAGCATCCTAAGATCACTATCAAACCACTTTCCAGTCCACTATTGCCGTACAAAAAAATAATCGTTAGGTTGTGATATCCTTTTGGTGCACAGCTGCCATGTTACCTGTAGGAACCATTAGGGCTGAGATACTGCCAGGTTATCCAAGCCTAGACAGAAGTAGTTAAGATGTTGAGTTTAAATTCAAATCAAAGCTCTTTCTGATAATAACTTCTCACCTTAATGAATGAGCTATTTCGAGTCTAAAGGAGACTTCTGTTGGAAGCACACCCTTGATGGTGGGCTGCTGAGGTATGTGAAACACTATCTGAAACCTGTTTTCTGGCAAAACAAGCGCATGACTAGTAACCATCGTAAGCTCCTAAAGGCAGGACAGCAACCGGGATGTGAAAGATAGCCGTTCGAACATAAGTTTGCAGGGGTGCGGAGAAAAACCCTAAAAGGTACTACCAATAAATATAATCCAAGACAGAAGTTTTGAAGAGAATGAATCTTATCGTGGCGTGACGCTTCGCGTGCCCCATGAGACACTGGGTTACACTGGGAAGTGTCATTGCGACTCTCGCACGTTCTCCCATAATAGGTTGGTCAATGGATAGAGGTTTCACTTACAGAATTTCAAGGTGGGGGTTGGAGCATGTGACTTGTCCTTTCAAAAAGGCTTAATGCAGTCGGACGATTGACTTGGATTGCATTCGGTACGTACAGATAACAGCGGGCGACTACTTCAGCTGTGTAGTTTTTATGCAATATTGACTTTTGAAATAACCGAGGTCACATGGTGTGCCCCAACAACGAGCCACGAATCCAAACTGATCACAACACCATTATTTGCCCGTGGGGTGCACTAACAACTGCGTCATTCACGCTTGAACACTTAAGCGGATTCCGATTACGCACCCGTTCGGAGTCCTTTCTCTTTATTTTTCAGAGTGGTATAAGGGGTAGACAACTCGCTTAACAACTGAGAAACCGACAGATCCATGAGTTATTAGAGCGGCATGGCACTACCAGGTCCGCTCAAATGCTTGATATCGGACAGGATAGTGGTGTTGCTTGGATTCCGCCGCCCCCAACACAATTGACACCGATGTTTGTCAACAAACATCAAGTTAACGAAGCATTCACCAACAGTCCAGTCTCGTGGACGTGAGAAATTAGGCAAACATAACAGGTACGGAATGCCATGGATAACGGTTGACTTGTGTAATTGGACCACGGAAAGCGCCTATGAGCAAAACCATCAAAGATCAAATAAGCACAGAGATCTTCAATAGAGGACACCTTGAACGCTGGACAGAGTACTGAGAACAGTCATTCTCGAAGCCACTTGATGCTGTCAGGATTCTTGATTTGCACTAGAACATCAAACGATAAAACTGTAACCACTACGGCCTCGGAAGTTCATCGATTCATATGTTTTCTATGGTGTCACCGAGTTCTTGAACGACATGACCCCCTGCACGAAATGTCTGGAGGCTGCAGAGAGGTCCCCAATCAGTGCTTGTGTTAGGCTGACCTCAACAACAAAACAAAACTGCCATACAGCATGCAGTCAGGCATTGCTACGGCTAAGAGCTTAATCCGCACGCCATTGGCCAGAAGACCGGTCCATTTTCCGGACCACCAACAAGGCGAGGTCTGACGCCAGCGGCTATAGGC